CGGCCCGCCCGACAGAAACGCCCAGGAAACACACCCCCCCCCGAAGGCGGCCGAAAAGGACTGCAGCGGGAGCCTCACCGCCGCGGGTGGGTTTTATAGAAGGGGAGGTGCGGCCCTTTCGTCCCCGCCTCGCCACGCCGCGAGCCAATGGAGAGCGCGTTCCTGTCACACACGCCCCCCGATCGTTGCCGGCAAAACTCTGCGAGCCAATCGGCGTTTCCTGTCTCGCTCTTCTTTAGCGCGAAGGCTTCGGAGAACGAGAGGCCGCCGCTCGACGGCCAATCAACGTCGGCTTCGTTTGTGTAGCCCGCCCCTCCAAGTCTCTCCGAGAGCCGGGGGCTGCAATTCGGCGCGCGCGTGAGGATCCCGTTAGCTTCAGGGAGCAGTTCACTGCTGTATAAAATTGCACGCAGTTCCTCTCTTTTAGATTCTCCTCTTGGGGTGGAAGGAAGAGGGGCCCACTAAACTGAAGCTATGGCTGGGACAGCAGCAGCATATTTCTTAGGGGGAAAAAATCGTATAGAAATTCTGACATTCTCTTTAGCTTACGGGTGAACCCCCTGTTCTATCCCTTGTGAGGGGAAAAAAAGTTTCTGAACAGGCTGAAGCAGGGTTCCTCAACCTCAGCAACTTGAAGATGGGTGGACTGAGGTTGAGGAACCCTGGGCTAAAGAACAACAACCTTGCCTATGAGAGATACAATTGGAAGAATGAGATCAAGCATAAATTAAAGAGATTGAGACTTGCTACAGAAAGATTGTATGGGGAATGTTGGTTGCAAAATCTAAATCAGCTTCTACTCGTTTTTATCGAAAATTAGAATGACCACGCTTACAGCCACATTCTTCCAAACAAAGCTCCACCAACTTTCCTTAATTCTTTCTGCATTTCATCTCCTGCCTTTTTCTCAGAGAGATCACAGAGTGTATAGTCGTTTCATACAGTACTTTAAGCCACCAGACCTTAACTATGACTACTACACTTTATGGAATTGGCACTTGCAGGACCGTTTGTTTTTTCATGTTTAAAATGTTTTTAAAATATGGTGGGGGGAGTGCGTGCATGCCTTTGAATCAGTTTTTGACTCCCGGTGACTGCCTGGACAAGTCCCTGCAGTTTTCTTGGCAAGGTTTTTCGGAAATGGTTTGCCATTGCCTCATTCCTAGGGCTGAGAGTGAGTGACTGGCATGGGTCACCCAGCTGGTTTTGTGCCTAGTCTCCTAGTTTCTAGGCTGATGTCTTACTTAACCACTACACCAAACTGGTTATCTTAAAATAAGATAGAAAGCAGCAATTAGAAATTGCAATCCTGTATCTGCTTATCTGGGAACATGCACCACAGGACTCAGTGGGTGTTACTTGCCACAGCTGAGACATTATTTTGACTTTTGCTGGTTTTTGTTTGTGAGGTGGCATAGGGTTGTCCATTACAAGTGCACTTAAATTCTGGATTTCTTCTTTGATGAAAGGACCGTCACTTTTGGGATGAGAAAGGGAAAAAAACCTGTTTCTAATGCTAACCTGTGTGTTTTGTTTGACATCAGTTTCCACACCACATTATCATTTCTTCATAATGCCTCTTCATTCTCTTCTAGTTACTGGTCAAGAGATGACCTGCCCTTCAGGAGATGACTCTGGCCTCTTGTGTCCATTCAGGCAAGGGGAGAGGGAAGAGATTTGGAGAAGTGTGACTAATATGCCTTTGGGTTTCTCTTCCAAATCTATTCATTGTTCTCTGAGAAATGTCATATACTTTGAAAATGGTTTCATCCCTGCTAGCTTAAGATACGCAGAATTACTTTGGGGTCAGATATGTTATCCCTAGGGATCCTTTGGAGGCAGTTCAAAAATTGCAGTTGACTGAAAACACAGCTCAATTCCAAGGGCTGTTTTTATTACCTTTAAAGCCATTTAGGATTTGGGAGCAGAATCCCTACAGAACTCATTTATCTTCACATAATCCATACGCCTAAAGTTTTCAACAGAATCCTTCAGATGCCACCTCCTCTAACAGGTGGATACAAGGGAAAAATCTTATTTTTCTACCAAGAGGGCTCTTCTAACCCTGTTTTGAGATTAAGGGCCTTTTATTTGTTATCTGATCCCATACATGGAAATGGGAAGGACCATAAATCAAAGATTTCACAAAGGTAATTTATTGGTAGATTGTGTTCATCTTTATAGCCAACCCAATATAATCAGTCCCAAAACTAATACAGTATTTATCGAGGCTCTAAGTACATTCAAAATTATGAGTTAATTACAAGGAAGATCCTTTTTGTCTTATCTGTAATAAAACAAATTACAGAAACTGCACTATTAAATACTGTACTCCAGTTTAAAAAATACCTTTGTTAAGAATTTAATAACCAAGGATGTTAATAAAGTTGTAATGAGCAATTATGCTTAGGCAAATCAAAGCAGATTTGCATTCTTGGTGAAATGTAAACTCTGTGAATAAAACAGGTCTCTTTTTGGAAAGATCTGTTTTAGAAGGCATGTAATAACTATTTAGAATGTTTCGTATTTGAATAAATTATAACCATGAAATACTATGCTGAGCAATAATACAAATCGCATATTATACAATATACTAACTCAGCCAATAAAATGTGACCCCATCACTTAGTTTCAGATGAATTCCTAGATAATGCAGCCAAAAACAGTGTGAGTGTAACATATGAGAAGAATCAGTTTGGCACTTGAAATTCTGAGGCATCTAATATTTTTTGTACTGCAGTCAACTATATTCTTTTTGGGAGAATTTAAGTTTGAGATGTTACCAGTGTGTAGGTATAATAGGTCTGTGGAAATCACCCAGTGAGACTCTTCACAGGCAAAGTACCCTTCTAAATCTTGAAGTCATAAAGCAACTCCAGCATGGCTACTTTGAAGCTCTCCCAAGATCTTCTGGGTGTACATGCTCAAAAGACTCAGTTATTTAAAAAATATAGCCCATAATTACAGAACACTTGCCAATCCCTGATCTAAGTACCAGATTATTTTAACAAACTCTTTTGACTAGATACATGTTTATAAATTTTTCCCATCATCATTTGAAACAGAGTTTACCAGTGCCAAAGAAAAAATCATCTCAGTGGTGGCACCACGGAAATCATGTGCTCTTTTCAGTGAAATACAACAATTTTCCTCTCTCTCTGCTTTTAGAACATTAGTCTAAATGTTTCTACTCAGTTTTTAAACCATACACATATTGTTTTATGCTATCTTCAAAACTATTTTTTCCTATTATATTTATAGTTCATAATCTGGGAGTGGACAACTTTGGGGTCACAGACCACACATTCACTTTTAAAACATTTTTAAATTTTTGGGGGGAGGGGACTGAAGACCATAGGAAATATAGTTGGTAATATGTTGTTCCTGAAGTGGGTGGTCAACTTGGGAATCCCAATTTTTGGGGGCTGGGTAAGTTTTAAAGAGGAATATGAGTGCCTTAAGTCTACCAGAGGCTTGAGACACCCGCTTTGCCCCTTATATTTCTCCAAACCCCATGAAAAATGGATCTGATTTGATGGGAATTAGTGGGATATCAAGTGGCAAGCTGGATCTTAAGGAATCAATTTTGCCCCTTAATTGTACAAAACCCAACCCCCATTAACAGCCAACACACATATATGCTTTAAAAAGGCAAAACATATATACAGCATTGACAAAACAATCCTGCTTCTCCTAAGTATTATATTCAGCTCTTTGGAAAATTCCTCTATTGCCATCTGTAACTCACTTTGACTCTCTTTCTAATCTCCAGCTTAATTTTTTTCTGGAAAGCTAACCATCCAAACAAGTAAGGCCTACATACCACCTGCCATTTTGATTTTCAGCACACTAGTATCCCATAATTGAAGCAGTGAAAACCTTTTTTAATAATAATGAGAGATGGAGACGGTGATATGTACAAATGAAGGTATCTACTTGTATCATATTAAGGACCATTTGTATTTCAGTTTCATTGCAATAGACACACAAAACTGGAAGTCATTCTCTATCACAAGAAGAATCAAATACTGTACTAAAACATCTAAAAACATGGGTTGTGGGTATTCTACATAAAACCTAAGTGGGGAAAAACTCAGATGGTCAGAGACAAAGAGGAGGCAATATAAAAAGATGAAATTTATTATTTGCAATTATACTTTAACCAGGTTGGCAAACTGCTATAAAAAATTATCCCATCCTTAAACTGCTGCACTCTTTTGATTGAAATGCACATGAAATCAAAATTGCTTGAATGATACTTCTAAGGAATGGCACATCAACACACTGAAGTATTTTGATTAATGAAGTAAAAGAAAAATAACTGGAAATAGAAAATAATTCAAAAGACAGAACAAGATGATGAGGATGACGGTTGGACAGCTTCACACAGCCACCAGTTTCTGCACATTAGAACCACTAAGAAATATTTTCCAGAAATATACAATGTTTTGGGAGATAAATGTTGTTACAGAGAACCTGCTCTTAGCGATGCAGTCCATAGCGATTATAACGCTTGTACAAGAATTTAATTCTCTTATTCAGATTATGATAATCTTCAGCAAACATTCGGTCACCCACCATTTTCTTTTTGCGAATGCATCTCTGCAGTTCATTCCCCCTCCAGCCACGTAGCCATATGGGCCCTACAATCAAGTCCTTGGGGTGGGCTTTGAAATCCCCTAAAAAGAAAAATACAACAGATGCATTTTGGAATTCCACCACTTTAACTGGCCCATTTTTTGATCATAGACTCCTACCAACTTCAACTGCACAAGGCATTCCCTGGCTCCTCAAAATAGCCATCTGAATGTTAAGTAAATAAAAATATCTTTCTGTTCAATCTTATCAAAAGCAACATGTACTCTTCTCAGATTAGGAACTTCCATGACAATTTCCCTCATCCAAGATCCAAGAAAGGATAAAAGAAAGAAAGATTTCTTAAACACTTGTTAGAATCACAGGAAAAGTTTGCAGGGAGCTTGGGGGATGGTGGATTAGAGATATCTCCCACACACATGCTGTTATTGGAAGAAGACAGGTTGTTGATAGGGGGAATCTACCTGCCTAACAGACTCATGCTTAACTAGCATTTACCCAAAATTCCAATATTGTCATAGACACCAAAGAGTGCTCGTTTCTCATTCCATCTGTCAACCACTTTTGGAGGAGGAGGCTCTTTCACCAGAAATGAGTTAGGAACTCCTGATTAAAACAAAAACAAAAACAGGAAAATTAGTCAATATCACTGTAAAAGATTGCCTTTGAAAGTCTTCCTTTGGCAAGTCAAAAATTGGAGCTTTTATGCTGCATGTTTACAGACCAAGCCTTATATAAAACCTAAAGTTAAATCCATATGTAGAAGGCTTTGTTTCAAAGCCCTCTAATGCTACAGTATCACTGGACAGCTTTAGAAAATAAATTCACTTAAGTCCTTAAACCACAAATTATTTGTAAATGCCTAGTCAACCATCACAAGAGCATTACTGCAAGATTAGTTACAAACAAGACTGCAAATGAACAACTTCTGGACTAAGTAGCCTTACACAGAGTACATTACTGTATAATGTAAGCAGTTTATGAACTAAGCCACCCCTATCCAGGAAATGGCAGAGCTCCTATATTAGCTGAAGCTGGAAATAAGCACTGTTAGCCACAAAGATCACCTGAATGTCAATGCTAATGATTATTTTAAGTGCAATCTTATATTCCAGTGTTGTTTTTCCCTGACGGAGTTCAATATTTACAACAGACTCTACAATATCCATAAGGAGAAAATGCCCGCCCCCCCCAAAAACCTCCCCTTCTGCCTCATCCACCTTCTCGCTGCATCTGAAAAAGAAGGGGAAGGTGAAGATGCTATAATATATTAAGGCACAGGATGGTAAAATAAAAGAAACGAGGGGACGAAGTTTCCCTTATCAATTGAAACGCCAAGAGGTGGGTTTCATGTCGAAACATCCCCAAACGAAATCCTCGGGTGCTTCTTCCTTTTACCCTCCACCCACCCACCTGTGCTGAACAGGCGACGAGCTGTAGGGGCGAGAAGACTGCCCACCCAGGACCGCGGTGCGGCCGTCATCAGCCGCCACGCCGCCTCCATCGAGCTTCTGCCTCGCTCCGACTTTTCCGCTCGAAAGGGCAACGCAGCCTCACGCGCCGGCCATCTCAGAAGCTTCCCAGAACGCACCGCGCCTCTGAGGCTTCGATTCGCGGCGGGGCGGGGGAGAGGAAGGAGAAAGGTCGCAACCATAGAGATAAAAAATGAAAGTGTTAGATGTGTTAATCAAGTCTTTGAGGCAAGAATGTCTGGCACTTACAATGTTTTATTAGAGGTAATTATAACTAATTCTCACCTTCCTTCCTTTTTTGATCACCCCCCCCCGCCTTTTCCTTCTTCCTCAACAGGAGCTCTATTCTCAGGATTCTGCTCCATGCATAGGGGCTGAACGACTAAATCGGTATTTTTCAAACTTGGACTTTGAGTTCACGTGTAAGGCTAGGGAATTCTGGGAGTTGAAGACCACGCGTCTTAGAGTTCCCAAGTTTGAAAAACACTGCACTAAATCTTCCAAGCAAACAAGGCTCTTGGTTGCAGGAACTAAAGAGGAGAGTATCCAGTTCAATGGAGAAAATAAGGAGCTACGTGTAATTATGTTTATTTACTTAGAAGAAAAACATTCATCTACTATGGAAGTTACCATGGTAAAAAGTTTACTTTTTAAAATGTGTATGTATGTGTATATGTATGTATGTATATGTGTATATATATGTGTGTGTGTGTGTGTTTCACCCATTCAAATGCAACTGACCGCTCCCAGACACTGAGAATGCAAATACTTTACAATTTGGAAATTAGTCTGAGACGGGCCAGATTTCCTAGCCAACTATCCTTCACACAAAATGCTTCAGTCTTTGCAGCTCAAGTCTGCCAGTGCTTCCTTTCGTATGGGAGCATTATTTTCCCCTTCTTGAGCAGAAAAAGCACTGTACTTTTAAATAAATATATATATATAAGTAGTATATACAGTACAGATATCTGTCAACTTGAAATAAGGCTTGACTAAAAGAGTACAAGCTTCTGATACTTATAGCAATTTCCAACAATTGCAGAGTTGCGTTAGTTGCATTAGTTGAAGTGATTGGCAAGCTTAGCGTGAACTACTGTATTCTGATCTCCAACGTCATCATCTCCCCTCGAAATAAAATAACATTGTCTCTATCGGGAGCATTTAAAAGTATTTCAGGAGCTGCTTTGTCGCATAAAATTGGACTAGACATGGGTTACAAAGCAAATGAAGCACTTAGCGCTTTGTTTCAGACAGTACTTTGAGTTTTTTTTTTTTAAAAAAAGGGGAGCTTTCACTTTGTATCCCAAAGGAAAAAAAATAGAAGTACTGTATACTGAAAGGAACTCGGCCTTCAGTATGAGAATGTAACTCTATACGTTTTCATAACTCTTCCCGTTGCCGAAGCGCGCCCATTCTTGCGGGATTTGACTGCGGGCCACGGGAGAACCATCGTCTTTTAAAGCGATTGGCTGCCGAGCTTTCGAAGAAC